GATAGGGCCAGATAATCTAGGGAAGAAGAATTCTAGATAGAGGGCACACCAGTGCAAAGGCCCTGAGGTGCATGTTGTAGCAAGGAGAGAGGAAAGTAGAGGGAGAAGCAGGGAGGAGGTGGCAGGGGCCAGGCCATGCAGGCTTTGCGGGTGGTGGACAAAGCCCTCCAAAGGGTAGGTGTATATAAGTGAACATCGCTTTTCTCTGCACATGCACACACTCACACACCTCCCATATACACGTGCACACCCCTGGGACACCTCTAACACACCCACGTATCCAGGACACCCTCCCTTCTCAGATTCCACCCATCCCTCAAAGCCCAAGTCAGCTGCCACCTCTTCTGGGCAACCGCCGCTCGCCACATATTTGGAAGGGACTTCTCTCCCCACACCACACAGCACAGAACTCATAGTTTCTACCCACACCACCTGGCATTATTCATCCCACATCTCTGAGGCACCCACTCTGGGCCCAGCCCTAGGCTGGTCACCAGAGCTTCGAGAATTGACACACTAGACACATGGCATCGAAACATACCAAGAACCTGGAGCCCTCGGGGGCTCAGACTTGAGAGGGGGGAGGGAGGGCAAAGAGACTGGGACCAGTCACAACTTTGCAGTTCCAACGCAAACCGGCTTAAGGCAAACACGAAGGGACAGGGTGGACTTCAGGCACATTTGATCCAGGACTTCCCGCGGTGGCGTGTAAAGACACGGTCTCTCTCTGTCCCTCTGGGTGGCTCTGTTGCTGTGGTAACAAATGGCCCTCGGCAGCTCCAGACCCACATCCTCCTCCCCGCTCAACAACCCCAGCTGACAGCGTGTGTGTGTGTGTGTGTGTGTGTGTGTGTGTGTGTGTGTGTGTATCTCTCCCAGTAAACCCCACCCGTGCCTGGGTCATGCTGCTCAGCTTGCCCGAAGCCACATAATCTTGAGCAAACCAAGCCGGCGCTCTGTTCAGAAGCAAGAAGGGGGCGACGTAGGGTGCCAGGTAGATTCCTACCAAATCCACAAAGGTGTTCCGAGCAGAAGGAGCAGCTCTAGCAAAGGCCCGGAGGTTAGACCGTTGACTGATGTTACTGCAGGAAACCGTGAGGGTAGGACCCACTTTGTCTTCAGACCCAAAGGTAGGAAATGGTGGCTGCCAGGCTGGCGAATATTGGAAGCCTTTGAAAGGTTAAGCAGGGGTAAGGGCGCCTGGCTGGCTCAGTCGGTGGAGCATGTGACTCTTAATCTCAGGGTTGCGAGTTTGAGCCCCGCGATGGGTGTAGAGATTACTTAAAAACAAAAATCTCAAAAAGAAGCAGATAAGGGCGCCCGGGTGGCTCAGTCGGTTGAGTGTCCAACTCTTGATTTCAGCTCAGGTCATGAGCCCAGGGTTGAGGGGATCGAGCCCTGTGTCGGGCTCCATGCTGAGCACAGAGCCTGCTTGAGATTCTCTCTCTTCCTCTGCCCCTCTGCCCCACCCCTCTCTAAAATTAAAATAAATAAATAAATAAATAAATAAATAAATAAATAAATAAATAAATGATAAACAGAGGAAATCTGGTGATGTCTGAGGGCAATAACGACTCATCATGAGGGGGTGGTGATCAGCAAGGGAGGGAAAAGGTCTAACCCCATGCACGGAAGGGACTTGACCAGATGAGGCTGCTTCTAGGGTCTGAGAAATAGGGAGACATTCCAACAAAAACAATTAATACCTACTCCATGATGCCAGGTCACACACGAGCCCCTCAGGAGCTGCCTTCACTGAGTTTATGAAATTATGTTGAAGAAGGCCAACATTGAAATAAGCGATCATTCATCAACTATAAATGTGGTGAGCACAGGTGCAGGAACTGAACACAGGTGTAACAGGGGCTTCTGGAGGAGGAGTCTGAGGAGGCCAGGATGTCTTTTGCGGAGGAGGAGCCCTTTTAGATGAGGACTTGGGCAGAGCAGGGCCATGAGGGAGTTTCTGGCATAGGCACATGCAAATGTAAAGGCCCTGGGGCTGGAAGGAACAAGGTAGGCTCCAGGGATCCAGAGAGAAGCAGTGTGACTGGAGCATAGTGAGCGATGGGGAGAGCCTCCACGGAAGTGATGGGAGACATGATTGGGGCCAGATGGTGGGTTGCCTCAATGGTACGTGTGGCTGTTTGGACTCCTCGTGGCAGCAGTAAACCCCAGAAGCGGGTGATAGCTGGGATCAGATCGCTTTATCCTGGCAGCTCCAAGCTGCTGCATGGAGCTGGAGGGGGGCTGGAGGGGAAGCGGGGAGCCCCAAGGGGAAGCAGGTGCAGTGGTTGGTTGAGAAGTGGTAGCGGCTTAGACCTTGCTGGTTGCCATGGAGATAAAGAAAAGCATGTGGGTTGGAGGGGTGGGGGAGATAGGCTCTGCCGATGGGATAAGGTGGAGGGAGGACAGGGAGGACTCGAGATGCCACCCAGGTGTTTGGAGTCAATGAGACGGGAGGCCGTGGGCAAGGCGGAAAGGACCACTAGGGTCCCCTTTGCACTGGACTGAGCAGTTACGGTAGCCTTTTTTTTTTTTTAAGTTTATTTATTTATTTTGAGAGAGAAAGTGCAAGCAGGGGAAGGGCTGAGAGAGAGAGAGAGAGAGAGAGAGAGAGAGAGAGAGAGAGAATCTTAAGCAGGATCCGCATTGTCAGCGCAGAACCTGATTGCTACAGGGTTTGAACTCATAAAGCTGTGAGATCATGACCTGAGCTGAAATCAAGAGTCAGAAGCTGAACCGACTGAGTCCCCCGGGCACCCCTACAGTAGCCACTTAAATAGTGGTGATGGTCACACGACATTGTCAATGAACCTAATGCCACAGAATTGTACACTTGAAAACAGATTAAAATATGTGATATATATAGTTTACCACCACACAAAAATAGGGGGAAAGCCTTAAATGTACACTAACTCTAACTAAATGAGAAATGAAGTCTTCAGTCTCACTGGCCACATTGCAAGGGACCCATAATGTTATGTGGGTGGGGGTGTTGCAGACAGAACGTTTCCATCATTGCAGAAAGCTCTACTGGGCAGCACGGGCCTGCTGTTGCTTCCTACCTCTGCCCAGGTGTCATTTCTTGGCAACGTTCCAAGGGGCTGCCTTGAAACCCCGCCAGGACCCAGAACAATCCCTTGGGGGCTAAATTGTCTATATGTTGAGTCCTGATGTTCATGGTGTTAGGGAGGAAGGTGCAGGCAGGAGCCGCTCAGAATGGATGCTTCAGGAGTTGTAGTAAAGGGGCTATCTGCAGAGGTGTGGGCAGGGTTGGGTGACCGACAGGAGGTGGCGCAGCACCCTGGGAGGGCAACAGCGAGGAGCTGTGGCCACGCACAGGCTGGAGGTTGGGGGATACAGGGACCGACACCGGAAGAGAAACACTCGGACTTCTCGCTCTTCCCTCCTCGCACCTCCCACCTGTGGTGACTCTAGCAAAAGGCAGAGAGCCCAAGTGGATGGCCACCTCCTGGGACACAAGGTAAGGTGAAGCATGGATGGGCTGATAATCAGCCCCACACCTTGTTCCCTCTAAAGCCCCTCCCCCAGCCCACTTGTCACCCATAGATGTCCATCAGCCCTGGGAAACCGCCACCCCATTGACCACCACCACACCCCTCGTCCCAAACTCTCCCCAGCAATCTCTGGTTGCCGGCAATAGAAACGACTCCAGTTGGCTGAAGCTCAAAGAGGATTTATTGGAAGAATCTCAGGGAGTCAGAAGAATGGACAGGAAGGATGGAGAGCCATGGCTGTGGCCTCATGGGGGGAGGCTGCTCTTGTCCTGCAAGCCTCCTGAAATGCAAAGTACGGGGTAAGCGTGCCAAGTATGGGGGCGCCTGGGTGGCTCAGTTAGTTAAGGGTCCAACTTCAGCTCAGGTCGTGATCTCACGGTCCATGAGTTTGAGCCTGGTGTCGGGCTCTGTGCTGACAGCTCGGAGCCTGGAGCCCGCTTCGGATTCTGTGTCTCCCTCTCGTTCTGTCACTCTGCCCCTCCCCAACTCATGCTCTCTCTCTCTCTCTCTCTCAGAAATACATAAACATTAAACAAATTTTTTCATGCCAAGGATGGATCCCTTGGATAGGGAAGGGGATAAGACCCAAGGTCAGTGCCCTGAAGCTGCTCCCAGTGGAGCAGAACTCCGTCCCCAAAAGAAAGGGCAATGGAACCCTGATGGCCACAACATTAACAAACATCCCCCCTCAAGCCTCTACCTGTGCATCTCACAGAAGGGACCCTAAAAGGGAGGCAAGAAAGGGTACTGACCCATCCAGGCCAAGCAGGTAGCAAAGGCCACTTTTCTAGGGACATCCCTAGTCAGAAGTGTGATGTGGGCTGGGCGGCAGAGGGGCTGTCCGTCCTCAAGCCACGGGGAGTTGCCAGGGCTGTCCCCATCTCCAAGTGGACCGGGGTCCTGGCCATGCCCAGGCTATTCTCCCAAGGACAGATGGAAAGACAGACAGAAGCAGGCTCAGTCCAAAATATCTTTTATATACATGGTTTATTCCTCCCGACCCCCATGCTGCAACCCCAGTCTCAGCCGCCCTCCCAGCATGGAGCTGCCCACCACCTCCTCTCTCAGGGGCCTCCTCTCTTGGGACTGGATCTCCGGAGGTGAGCTGGGTAAAAGGAGGGGGCCCTAGCACAAGGTGGCTCCCCTGTGCCTTCAGCCCCCACCCTCCAAAAGGGGAGGAAAGAGGAAAGAGGAAGCAGCACAGAACTGGGGCTCAAATACTCAAGAAGCTACAAGATAGAAGACAAAAGTAGCACACTCTGGGGAAGGGGGGGCAGGGAGGAACCAAGGCCAGATCCCACCCCCCTATTGGGGGCGTGGCAATCCCAGGGCCCGGAGGGGCAAGGAGTGGGACTGGGGAAAGAAGAAGGATCGGGGGTAGAGGAGCCCAAGGATGGTCCCACCCTGGCCTGGACTCCTGGGCACAGGGCAAGCGAGGCTCGCGGAGCCCCTGCACTTGGCAATGCATGGGTGGATGGACACCTACAGCTTGGTCAGGTCCAGCTTCAGCTTGTAGGGTGGGGGGCTGTCCCCAAAAGCATGCGACGGGGGAGGGTACAGGGGCCAGTCTGGCTCTACCATGAAGCCCTTGTGCTGCTCCAGGGTCAGGGGCTGCAGGGGGAGGAAGAGGGATGGAGGGAGGGCTAATGAGCTCCCACCCTGCCAAGGCTCCTTCCCACCCCTGATCTCAGGTCACCTCAACTATGGGTTGGCATCGTTCCCCCCATCTCATAAGGAAGTGAAGAAACTTGCCCAGTGTCACACAGCAAGTCAGGAGACCCTGCCTCCAGGGGAGAGTGGGTGGCCCAATTCAGGACCAGGCAGCAGTCCTTCTCCCACCCCTCCTCTGGGCCCCGCCCACCTGAAACTTGAGGTGTTGGCCAGGTGCGGTCACCAGGGTGGAGCAGCTCAGCCACAGCATCACCAGCACAGAAAGGAAGAGGCAGCAGGCCAGGATCCAGCGAGGGAGCCCTGAGCGCCTGACCCACCCAGAAGGCACGCTCAGCGGTCCTAGTGGGGGTTTGGGAGACCCTCCCTTCCAGCTCCACTCCCATCCCACCCCCAGGGTCCTGTCACCCACCGGGACATGCAACTGAGGAAGTCGTTGTCCTGCAGCTCATCGGACTCCACCTTGGCCTTACTGCTGGTCTTGACTCGGATCTTGGCCTTCCTCACTTTGTCCAAGGGGCCTACAGGGTCTGAGACAGGTCTGCTCTTAGCAATTCCCAGACCTCCCCCAAGAGATCAAAGCAGCCACGGAGAGGAGAAAGGAAGCCAGGACCTAGGGCAATGGGACATACAGTCCTGGGATAGATCAGAACCCGGGAAAATGGACCATGGAACTCTAGGAGATGGATCATGGAATCCTGGGAAACAGACTACAGAACCCTGAGAGATGGACCAAGGAATTCTAAGAGTTGAGAGACAGAAATCCCATTCCTAGAGGTTCATTTTCCAGGAGGATGCCTTATGGCAGTGGAGCTGCCTGTGGAAGGAGCATGGGTCTAGCCTCAGAACTTACCCACGTGTACCTCCAAGGCCTCAGGGTGGGATCCCCGCCAGGTCACCTCTACTCGCTGCAGACGGGCCCCTTCATGCCCCAGGTTCTCTACCACAGGCTGGGTCTGGGTCAAGAACAAGACAGCACAGAAGGGCCACTTAGAAAGTCACCACGTTAGCCCTGGGAAGCACATCTCTGGCCCATGAAGGCTACGTTGTCCCATGCCCAACTGGCACATCGTTCCACTGGGTGCAGAGAGGACACCCTTCTGTGGGGCTCTGGGCTGTGACATCAGGGATGTGGTTCCCTGCTATTGTGGGCATCTCAATTCATCTTGACCCCATCCTCTTTAGCTCCTGACCAAGCCAATAGAATCACGGGGATTGGCCGAGAGATGGTCACATGACCCAGCCAGGGCCAATCAAAGTAAGTCCCAATTTAGTTAAAACTTCAGAGAGGTTATAATCTAGAGCCTTGGGCATCTACCCAGCTATCAGGAAGGAAGAGCTTGCCTGGAAATGAAGCCACCGCAGAAAAAAGCAGAGTCAAGGAGGGGAGTGAGACAGTGAACCCCTGAATCTAGCTGTGTCTGAACCTCCTTGACCACCTGAGGACTTTGCATCCCATGAGCCAAGAACCAACGCATCCCACCTTCTTACCCTGATCACCCACCCACCACGCTGGTGTGGCCCCTGCCAGACCCCTCACCTGGAATACCACCACCTTCCCATTGTCAGTCTGCAGGTAGTATGTCCAGGTGGAGGAGACGAAGCCCTGGGCCGAGTTGACAAGGTCATTGCAGAGGGTGGAAAACAAGTCCAGGAGCGAAAGGGCCCCACTTGGAGCTTCCAGGACCTTTCTCTGCCAAGGGAAGGCCCAAGGCACAGAAATGTCACCAAGGTAGGGCGTTCACCAATGGGAGGGGGGCTGGGAGAATTCACTATGATTGGAATTTGCTAAGTGGTTTGGGGCAACAGGGCTTCGTACAACGAACACAGGCCTTAGGAGCTGCATTTGGCTTCCTGTTGCCCTCGGAGAAGTGGATTGCCCTCTCTGAACCTTCAAATGGGGATGATTCTCTTCCCTCATGCGGTTGTTATGAGAGTTCAACTAGACAACGGTACAGCACAAGCGCCTAATGTGTAGTAGATGCTATTATTAAATTTGTCACCACCATCCTTCTTATTTTGACAGCATCAGCAGAGAATTCAGAATAGGAAGGAATGATAGTGCAGTGTGCTTTTATGAACAGTGAAGGCCTGGAGGGGGTGGAGGAAAATGAGTGAAGGGAGAAGAGCTTTCTGGGGAATCTCGGTCCATGGGTCTCTGGCTGTGATGAATGATGTCCTGTGCCTTAGTTTCCCCAGATATAGGGTTTCCTAGACTCACTTATGGACATGACAGGTGAGCAATTATTATTTCTCCCTGCAGTGGGGGTGGGGGGTTGCTCCTCCCTGAAACTCAGTTCTGAGCCCCCGCCCCCATGACAATGGCCACCTGTTCATCACAAGGAAGGTGCTCAGACCAGCACCTGGCATGTAGTAAGTGCTCGATAAAGTCAGCTCTAATAGCACAGAAGGCGAGTGAGGGGAGAGGTGTTCATAAGCCTTGGTGGCACTGGCTTTAAATCCCATCTCGTACAGCCCTAAATGTATGAACTCAGGTAGTTGCTTCGCAGGCACAAAATGGGAGTGGCGCTGTCCCAGGTGCCTCTAGGTAGCCTGAGGAATTTGGGACAGGCTATGGCTGAGCCTGGACCAGGACAAATGACTGACAAACCGTGGCTGTTTCCTTACTCCTCGTAAGGTGGTGGGAGGAGAGAGTACTTCCCATATCACAGAGGTGATAACTGAGGCTTGAGACCAGACTTGACTCCATCGAGGGCACCCGGTAAGCCCAGAATGGACTGCAGAGCCTGGGAGACTCTGGATATGAGTGCAGATTTGCAGGGAGGGGGTAGAGAAGAGTGGTGACAATCCCAGGGCCACAGGTGGGAGGGTGCCCACCTTCTGCTCTGGCTCAGGCTCGGGTTCAGGTTCCGGCTCCGGGTTCTGGCTCCAGCAACCCTCGCTGCAGGCCTGCTGCTCCGTCTCCTTCACATAGGCCTCCACACAGGCTGGGGGATGGGTTGGAGGGGGGAGGGGGCAGGAGGGGTGACTAAAGGCTGACCCTTCCCCCGCCACCCCTCCCCACCCTGGCCACCCAGCCAGCCCTCACCTGCTTCACACTCAGTCTGGGTGGCATTGGGCTTGGAGCTCCTGGCCACGAATCGGCAGATGGAGAAGAGGCGGCAGCCACGCTCACAAGCACTGATCAGGACAGCCCTGTCATACTCATATGGGGACTCCGTGGGGTCCTCCTCCTCAAGCTCTGCCTGGGAGAGGGGACGCTGGGCTCAGGCCAGGGGGAGGGGCAGGAGGAGATCTGCACTGGAAGCACACGCTCAGAGCAGGAGATAGAAGATTTGTGGTCCTCTCCCTCCTCCTCCCCCCCCCAAATGCAGAGAGATTGAGGTGGGGAGAGGAAGGCTAAGAATATTAGTGGGGGTTCTTAGCTCTGAGGAAGAGAGAAGGGGAGGGAGCTTGAGAAGGGGGATGGACCGTGGAGGGCACTGGGTTTGGGCAATGGTTGTAAAATGCATAAGAGGGAGAGAAATGCCCTCCCCCCCACCAAGGCTCCAGGGAGGAGGGCAGAGATTGAGGGGGATTCTCAGGCCTCAGGAAGGAGGGAGGAGGCTAAGAGGAGGAGGTTTTGTCGTATTTTCTGGCCTGGGAAAATGGAGATCCAGCTGGGGG